AATGAACTATAGTGGATAAGTTCCAATCTTTTTTTTGTGGAGAAAAAAATTTTTGTTATATTTTTTGTTAATTGTAAAGTAATAAATAGGTATTCTTATAGCCAACCGGATCTGCGGTCCAATTGGTTGGCCCTCAAGTTTTAGGGTTTGGGTGAGGCAGAGGTTAGGGTTTCGAGCTCTGCCACCGTCGTGAACTCCACCAATTTACGACATAATGGTCGCGCCCCTCAAATGATGGGGTGAAATGTTCACTTTCCTAAAAAAATTCCAGCTGCTAACAAACTAACTCTACTAACTTCCTAACCATTTACCTGATAAAAAAAAATTATATATTAAAAAAAAAAAAAAAAAAGGTATTTCAATATATCTATATAGATATTTTAATATCTATAAGTTATGCACATCTATTAGACAACAAACTCCTCTAAAAGCACTACAAAATTTAATTTAAAACAAATTGATAAATAAGCAAAGTAATTTATATTGTATTTAAGTGTGTGCCCATAAAAAATTAAAAAATCTAATGTGTAATTTCTCAACATGCTCCCATGGGTATGCTCGATTCTTCCATGTCCAGTCACGTGAACTTCTCACGCCCCACACGTGCAAAACTAATTCATGTTCTAATGGAAACTTGCAACATGATCTGCACACACTCAACTCTCCTCCGAAGAACATGGCATTTTCAAGTTGGCAAAAATCTTTCTTAAGCCCCTCAACTTTTTCAACAGCAAGTGACAAGCCCTGAACTAAAAGGGGGGCAAATAAGCCCTCTAACCCCACGTTTGGTGTAAATCAACCCCTCCGTTAACTAAACTCCGTGACGTTGTCAGTGAAATGGCTTGCATGGCAATTTGGCATCCAACTGGCTCCAACATGTCATTAGTGTTGCCATCTGTTCTTTGAAGCCTAAATCAATAAATGAGCAATAATATGGAGATAATCTTTTTGGATAATTTTTTTATATAATTTTTATATGTTATTAAATGTGTGAATACACTTCATATCACAGATGTTAAATAAATAAAAAATTAATAATTTAATTGATATATGAAATTATACTAAAAAATGATATAAAAAGGTTGTCATTAAATCATTTTCTTCAATAAATATATATAAATGGAAAAACCTACAGCTAATATACTAATAGGAAATGAAAGTAATGACATTAATTAATTTATAAGTAGTGATATTGGGATAATTTTTTATATAATTTTTTTATATAATTTTTACATATCATTAAATAAATAAATACAATTAATATTATAAAACTCAAATAAATAAAAAGAGTTAATTATTTATCAAAAAATAGTATAAAAATTTATCCCTACATCAGTTTCCTTAATTTATTAAAAAATTACCAACTTCACATGACCCAAGTTTTTACTTATTTTCAATTTCTGACTGCATCTACCAACTGCTTAAATTTACTCCTCTTTGGCATATATATATATATATATACACTCTCTAAAACAAATGATTTTTCGAAGAGTTATGTTAATTAAGAAAGTTAATGAACACCTTTAATTATAGGAGTAATAATGGTTACAATATAGGTAACATTATAAATTCATAAGATATTATTAAATAAGTAAATTCACATACATGATATTATGAATAAGATTTTTTAATAAAAAATTAATTCTATAACAAAATATTATAATTATAAATTTATGATAAAAGAATTGTGAGGTATTTGTGCGCACAGATTGTTCAATATTTATGGAAAATTGTTCGACAACACAACTAAATTAATCTTGACATTATAAGGGCTTTTTTATTGGTAAAAACCCTTCTTAAACCCCTCAGCTATTTTGACAACAAGTGACAAGTCCCTGAATTAAAAAGGGAACAAATAAACCCTCCAACCCCACATTTGGTGCATAAGATGCATCATGACACATTGGAGCTAATATGATGCCAAATGTCACGCAAGCCATTACACTAATAGCATCATGGATAGGGATGACAATTTGCCTCAATCCCCGTAGGGCCCTGCGGGAATCCCTGTCACAAGGACGAGGTGGGGCGAGGACAGGGGATATTTTCTTATCGTGAAATTTCACGGGGAATTTTCTCTACCCCACGGGGCCCCGTGAGGATCCATATCCCTACAAAAATATGTAAATTACTTTTATGTTAAATTTAATTCAATCTTCAAACCCAAATCCAATCCAATAAAAATTAAATTTAACCCAATTTGACCCAACCCATTATCAACAAGTTTGTTGATTTAGCTATTTATGTTGAATTGATCTTTATTTATTTGGACAATTTATATTTGATTTTATATTTAAAGAATTTTAATTAATTATACTTGAAATTTTAGAATTTTATTCATTACAATTAAATATTAATTAATTGTATGTAAAAATTTTTATATTTTAATATTAATTTGTGAAAAATGAGGGGACAAAATCTACCCCCATCAGAAATCCCTGTAGACATCCTCATCCCGCGATTCGTGAGGACGAGGATGAGAAGGGACTCTCCGGCCCTATGGGGTCCATTGACATCTCTAATCATGGAGCTTAGTTAACAGAAGGGCTAATTTGCATCAAACATCATGTTGAAGGGCTTATTTGCCCCTTTTTTAGTTTAGGAGCTTGTCACTTGTTGTCCAAAAAGTTGAGAGGCTTAAGAAGCGTTTTTGCCTTTCAAGCTCCAACGATATGGCTCGCCCAAAAACTCAACAGCATCAAAACCAATTGTATTTTTTTTTTCTTTAAGTACTTTTAATTAGGGGAAACATGTGCAAATTTCTTAAAATTGTGGTATTGAAGTAAATTATAATTTTAAAAAATATAAATATGATTTATTGTTGGAACTTAAATATTTTAATAAAAAATAAAATAATATATTTTATAAATTAAATTTATTGTCCCATTAAGGTCTTGGTCAAATTAGTCGTTGTAGGTTAATTGTCTTATTTAATGGCATATTATTTCATAATAATTGCTCAATTTATTCCTATTATTAAACTACAAA